GTTTGGTTGGAAGCCAACATTATTTGTTAATTCTGATTCTGGGGTTTGCTCTAATTAGATTGTACTTTGAGAGTACTGTTTGATTGAATTTATAATGGCTTTAATCTTAGTAATACAAGTAACTTCTTTTTTAGATAAAGAAAAGTTAAAATAATAACATAGGACAAAGTTTTTTTTTATTTTACTTGTTTCTGATGTTTTTAACTAGAAGTGATGTACATTGCAAGCTATGTCAGGTGACTAGAAAATCACTGGATTGGTCAATACAGTGGACAGTTCTCTTTTACATTTGTTTTCTTTCTCATAAAAGCTAAAGAACTTAAAGATATGAAAACTTTGGAAGGTAAAATAAAAAGAGGTGGTAGTTATTAAAGATACAAGGAGTATATGATGTTTGGCACGTTTGACTAAGAAACAGCAGAAGGTGGCTGACAGACTCAGGATGCAGCAAGTATCTTCCCACTCCACGTTTCAAGCTTTTGCAGTCCTTGAAATGAGACTTGAGAGTCCTCTAGCTCCAAATTAAGCTATTTATTGCTTCATCATAACATGGCCATCACATAATTCTGAAGTAAGGACTAAAAGTGAACAATGAATGAGTATTTTTTGTGTGTGTCTGTAGATAGAGGGTGGTTGTTGAAATAAAGAGCTTCTTGTTTCTTCTCTAGCAGTCCTAGTGGACACTAAATTAAGAAATCATTTCACTGACTTCTTTACAGGTTACTATTCAAGCAGACATAAAACCTAACCTGGAGTATATCACACAAAGGCTTAACCCACAAGAGCCTTTGCACTGAACTCCAGAGGAGAAAGGAGTCTATGCTTCAGATGCTGTATACCAAAGCTAGATGTTAAGAGGGGTCCTCCTGCACCAACCTCAAGAGGAACAGGACCCCATTGCTTCAGCTGACAAAGGTGTTTCCATATGGATGCTCCAAACCAGAACTTGGCTTTGCTGTGCAGAAAGGACAGGGCTAAGCAAGTTTAATTCCCTGTACTTCTCTTTAATAATTTCTTTAATCCCTTTCACATCCTTTGTGTTTCCACACGATCCTGTGTTGAAGAGCTGTCCCCTGTAGATCTCAGGTAGTTTTCAGGAGAAAGCTGTCTAGAAATGAACTGAGGTTCTGCAGCTACTGTGCAGTCCTGCAAACAGGTGTTTCCATGGTTCGCTTTCTGCATGACAGTAAGGCACACAGTAACCTACAGGGCTACTGTGGCAGAGATGAGCACACGGTATGAAGATGTGGGCCTTGTGACATGCTTACACCACCCTGACAAAAATGACTTTGACAGAAAAACATCTAGAGCTCTCTGCGTGAGTGTCTCCTGAGCTAGACTTATTAAACGTTAGCATGGACTGTTTACCCTATTCTGCAGACATGCAGAGTATGTGAGTCTTATTTCCCCTCCATTTCTGTGAACAAAAAAAATGAAGTCAATTAGACTGACCCAACACACAACATGGAAGAGGACAAGCTCTTCAGATTGAATCCCAGCAAGACAAACAGATTTAGAAGAATTTCTTCAGCAATACCTATCTGTTACGAGGGAGAGCTGCAGAAGTTTTGCCACATTTATCGGAGAATGAGTGCTCTGCAGGTCTAAGCACACTGGTAATGCTTGAACGGTATCTGTTAAGTTAAAGAGGGGAAGCCTGGCGAGGCAGAGCACAGCTTCAAGCCACCAGTGCCTGGGGAAGCATGTCACCAAGGAAGTGACGCCAAGCACGCTCTGACCTACACCCTAGTGGAAATTCTAGCTCTTCTGACAAGAGAGTGCTGTGGCAATATGGCTCACGGGGTCAGACAGCACCCAGAGCTGCAGCAAGGGTTGGGGACTAACAAGCAGAGACACAGCAGCTGACAAAGCAGCAGACAGTCAAGCCAGGTGTATGGAACAGCTGCCCAGGATGGATAGTTCTTGCTGCGTGAGCCTATGCTGACCCAGCCCTCTTCCAGCCTGGATGGACGCTAAAGGCACAGTGGCACAGAGCTGTTGGCTCCCTCTGGGCTGCAGGCCCCACACAACAGGGCTTTCTCAGCAGAAGGGGAAAAAGAAAACAGGTCATTCTGCTAATGTCCTGCACTTTCTGTTCTTTCTCAAACATATGTGCTAAGGCTGTACAGACTGATGTGCATGTGGGAGAGCTAAATCATCAGAAGCAGTTGGCTCTACCAGCCACAGGAGATGGGCTCCTTCACACACCAGCTACTGTTGAAACTGGTGTCTAAGTTCACCTCCTCTTCTCCCCTTCTGGTACAAATGCCAGCATTGCATCTGGCTGCTACACAAACCATGAAAGAGCCCTCAGCACAGCTCACTAAGTTTACCTGCAAGTAGTCAATGGTTCTGACTTACTCCTTGTTATTTAAAGTATTGTTTGCCACCAGAAAGCCTTGGCAGTGTGGCGGAAAACAGATTTCTCAGCTGAGCGGTGTTCAACCTCCTCAAACAGGGCTGGGTTCTGCTGTGCTACTGTCAGTCTTCCTAAGAAGTGACATCTCTCTTAACACACTCAGTTGCATTGCTGTGCACTCTCTGCTAGGAGGAGCAGGGCTTGTGGCATGACCAGTGGTATGTTACTGGGCTGTATCTATCTCTATAAACACCTGCAAACTCATAATATGGTGATTTGCACTTGTGATGCTGTGCACGATGTGGTCACGTGGAGTCAAAATTCAGATATTCAAACCAAACTTAGACAACATGATCCAGTCATGTCAAAATTTGCCTTTACTGCGCTTATTTTTCTTCCTTTGAAACACAGGATGCATTCAGGCACACATGCGTTTCAAGACAGCAAAACGTGAATCCAGCATGGCCTCTGCTGACAGCAACACCTCCAAGAGTCTCTTCTTCATCTATAAGAATATTCAAGCTCCTTCCCCCAGAAAAATTGACTCCCTAAAACCCAAACCCACTCATTATAAACTCATGACTCCCCACAATTAAAGACTAACCACAAAAGAACTGAAATTTTCATGTAGTGTTTGATTCACTAAATCACTCTATGTTTGGAAATAAAGATGCTGGGACTCTCAGCTTGAATGCTGCAGAGCATGGGGCAGCAGAGTTCAAGAGTTTAGGGCTATGCTGCCAAGGAGAAGGATGAACTTACACAGGCAGCACACAATGGCACGGCTGCACAGTGCCTGCCAAGGCCATACACACACTGCACCTTGCTGACCAAGGTCAGTGTCACTACATGGTACACTTACAAGTAGGCAAGAACCCAGATGTTTTTTCCACTCTGTAACTCAGAGAAAAGTCAGTTCCCCACAAGTATCTCTCTCTCTCTCTCTCCATGATTACTACATGGGCTGTGTAACACTGCTAAGTTCCTTGCTTCTTCTCTTCAGCCTTGGGAGGAACTTGGCAAACTGGCCCTATTTCAGAAAATGCGCAGACACATCTTTAATGTTTAGACATGATGACATAATTCATATGCTTAACTTCCAAGGACATGCCTCTGTTGTGCTGGAATGAGGCCAGGGTACTCAACACTTGCCAGGCTTGAATCTTTGATCATAGTACACACTTTGTATCAAAACAGGCTGGTTTTGTTTAATCAAATGGAGGTTTTAACATTTTGTTTAGATACATTTTGCATTTTAAAGTGCTTATATTTTTTACTCTATCAGGTATTAAATGCTTTCTGTTTCTTTTCCCACAGAATTTTAACACCTGTTTTCCTTATTGGTTTGTCTACATGGTCTATTAATAATTCAGAAACAAAAATCTGAATGGCACCCAATAAAAGCTGTGTTAGTGTATGATGCCTCTTTCACACCAGCATGGAAGCATGATAGTTACTTCTCGTAAGCGACCCCCAAAACATGGGGGTCCGTTGTACAAACACAGTGAAACAGCAAGTGATTTCAAAATATTTACACCACAGGATGCAGTAAAGCTGGCAGACCCTATGTGGGTAAAGAGTGCACGTGCAGCACAGAGGACAGAAAACATCAGGAAAGGGAGGAAATGACATGGCCAAACCTTAGAGAAAGATAATAAGCTGGTAACTGAGGTGGGGGTAGTAATTTTATCACCTTAGAGACTGATATGGATGGGGCCGGGGGGGTGCAGGGAAGAAATTAATGGAGCTACCCAAGTAAGCAGAACCAGAGAGGCTCTTCTATACCACAGGGATGATGCGGGAGAGAACTCCACTGTGGAAGGGCCAAGGAACAGCCTGGGCATGACTTGGATAGTGCGGGCAACATTGCTATAAAAGAAACCAAATGAAACCCAACCCAAAACCAAGCTCATGGAAGCTGGCTAAGGTAATAATCCTGTACATACTCTACACTTAAAAATGCCCCCTGGACTTGTGAGTACGTAGGTATGCAGGACCACAACACTGCAACAAGAAAAAGACTTTGGAGAGGTACCAGCAGGACAGTAGGCAGAGCAAGTCCAGGATGCAACTTAAAAAACCTGTCAAATTTATCTTCAACCTGAGGAAAACAAAGCTGTTAAGATTTCTACAGAGGGAGGGCTGGTGAGTGTTTCAGTTAGTGTTTCTGAGAACTGGTGCAGAAACAAGCTCTTGCATCCTGGGCAGCTGCAGTCTGCAAAGTTTTAGACAGCAGGAAAACACACGGAGAGGACATAGGGACTTGGGTAAATGCTCTGGCAAAGGGACAAATAATATGATCTCTGATCTAGAAGGATTGGAGATAAGAGCAACCACAGGACTAAAGAGCCATGAGCTGGGCAACATAAAGAGTTCAGGGCCAACTGCAGAACTGCCCTAGCTTTGTCAGCTCTGCTGCATGTCGTCTGGATCAGGGAAACAGTAATTAAGGGACATGTCAATTAAAACCAAAACAGCTTCATATTGGAATAAGGTAATATTCAACTGGATCCAGGAGCTAATGGAATCAAAGCAGAGAGAGAAATAAGGGACCAAAGCAATCAAAGACTAGAGAGTTGAGCAGCCTCTGTCTAGAAGCATTTCCACAGGACTGAATTGAGAGAGAAGGTGGCCCAAAACCTTAACTAAGTAAAGCACCAGTACCTGTGTCCGGAACATTAAGCTTCTCCTTTCTGTGCTTACATTTGCTGACAATTTTGTGGAATAAGTTCTTTTTCTGAGACTGGAATGAACCTACAGACAACATTAATAATACATACTTTTAATTAGCAGTTTTAAAAAAGAGTACAACAGTCACAACATGTACTATACAACCTCCCCTTTCACTAACACAGGATGCCATTTCATAGGGAAGCACAAAACCTGGCCTTCCAGAAGAATGGACTCTGGAGGCTTTCAGCAGGCTGTACTTCAGCCCATCAGCTCCCAATACCTAAGTGCATATAAAGTATCTTAGACAATGATGACCTTCGGAAACCTCAGCCACATCACACAACAAGGGTTTGCTTGCTTGTTTAAAGAGATAATCTCTTTTGCACGTGTACTGGGTTTGGTGGGAATGGAGTAGCCTTTCCTCACAGCTGCCTGGATGGTGCCATGTTTTAGACTGGTGACCAAAACAGTGTTGGCCACCCACCAGTGTTTCAGCTATGGATGAACAGTGATTATGGAGCATCAAGATCTCTCTTTCTTACTCTGCCACCCCAGTGAGGAGGCTGAGGTTGCACAAGAGGTTGGGAGAAGACACATTTGGGTCAGTTGACACACGCTGGCCGAGAGGTATTTCATACCATGTAACGTCACACTCAGCAATAAAACTGGGGGGAGCTTATTTCCAAAGCAGTCACTGCTCAGGGACTGGTTGGGCAGCAGGTTGCCAATGGCGAGTCCTGGCTTTGCATCACCTTACTTCCTCCTCTTCACTTAGGAAACTTTATCTTGACCAGGGAGGGTTATTTTTCCTGGCTTTTGCCCTTCCAGTTCTCTCCCCTGTCCCACTGGCAGAATGTGAGTGAGTGACAGCAGGGGGACAGGCCTACCAACCAGGGCAAACCCACCACAGGATTCAAGAGTCACCTTTGCCTTTTTGATGACCAGAAATAAGTTTATATTTTGCCTTTTTGATGACCAGAAATAAGTTTATATTAAGTACAGAAGTACAAGCTCATGGTGGTATTCCTACTATGATAACAGAGTCTTTATTCATAGTAGTCAGAAGACATCCCACGTGACATTGGACCACAATGTATGTCACTAGCAGAGGTCATCAAGAATCTATCCTTTGTCTCACTAATGGAGTAAACAGTGATACAACAGCAACAGACATAGCAGACCAAAGATAACAGATGCATAATCTCTACACTGCAAAGCTATTTTTATGGAGCTGCTTTTCAGAAACTGCACTTTAAAAATCAGTTCCCAAAGATAGCAGCAGCAAAGCCAAATCTTTAGGCTAGCTCAGAACAGACTGGCCCAAGCAGCAATGAGATACACTGCAGGTGACAAGACAGCTTACAGCCTAACAGGAGGCTGTCCTTCCCATTTGCAGCTGCCTTGGAACAGAATTCTATCCACCACAAATACTGGCCTCCTCCACATCCTTAAAAGGAACCAGACACACATATTGGCTACTGAGACAAGGCAAGTCTATGTCATGTATCTGTAATTTGGCCTCACTGACTCTCCATATGTAGGGGAAGAAGGAGAAAACAGTGTAGCACGTGGAAGAAGGATATAGTCTTATGAGGGGAAAACCATTCATAAACACTAGGCTGTTTGAATAATACTGATAATTACTGAAAGGCAAAGAACAACCAGGAACAGGCAGAGAAACCCTAAGATTTTGTACTGTTGGCTTTGTGGTTCACTGCTGCTTGGTTTTTTTACTACTGAAGAAATCAAAACTTCGGGGAAAGATTAACAAGCTCTCAAAAATCTAGAAGTCAAACAACAAACCAAATACAGTCCATGTGAGACACCATCTGAATAACTTCACAAGAACTTGTATAGAAAATATCAGAAAGTTCAACAGAAGAGGCCATATTCACTCAAGCTGATTCAAGTGTTCTGCAAATTTTACAATAGCTTCCCAAGTATCAGAGCTGGATAAGCAGTCTAGTGTCAGTGCAATAACAATGCAAAACAAGGAATGAAAAAGCTCAGACAGGTTGAGGGAAAGCCCAAGCGAAAAAACTGAGCTTTTCTGAAGACTAAGGTCAAACACTTCACCCACATCAACAAAGACAATTCCTCCCACAACAGATCCACAAGAAGACACAGACAGAAGTATATAACTAGATGATTCTTATGACATTTTTGTTGTGTGGTTTTTGTTTGCTTGGTGTTTTTATTTTATTTATTTTTTTTTCAAATTGGCAAATTAGTGTTGTTTTTTGAGGTGCTCAGAATAAGCAGCATGTTACATGGTATCACAGAAGTCTCAATTTCTACAGCTCAATCTGCAGGCTATAGACCATTTCCATCAGTATCACAGACTGCCAGACAATGTCACCAACTCTGTGCAGAATAACTGTGATGAAAAACCTCACAAAAAGACAACAAGCACTGCATGAAGAAGGAAACCTGTCTCTGACCTCTTTTCTACCATCCAAGCCATCTTTGCCATAAGCTTGTATCTCTGACATGTAGGTACCTCCAAGGCACATGCCACTTGCATGTAACATTTTGTTCCCAAGTGGAAAATGCTGGGACATTGAATTCAGTGGTGTCAAAATAGAAGCTGCCTTTATATAAGGAAATTCCCAGTTTCCTTCCCTTTTAACTGTTACTGCTGTGAGACAGTGCCCACTGACACTTGAGTCCCCTTTGGCCATGAATATAATAAAACAAAAGATGCACTAACAGCTAAATAGGTCATGTCATACTCAGACCTGAGAATATAATTTCTGGATCCATGACAAACTTCAGCCACACTCCCAGTCTGCACTAGAGTAAGCTAGGGGGTACACTCACTGTCCTCTCTGAAAAGCCAAACTGCAATCACTCTCACACTCACACATGCAAATTTTGTCTAGTAATTACTGAATAGACTATCTGGTGGTTCTTCAAAAACAGCCACATCCCATCCTGCCTTTAGTCTAAGGCCTAAGCCAATGAGTTGCCCGACACAGGATCTTTGCGTGCCGTACTGAAGTATGAATCACAGAGCTTTTAACAGAAATTAACTGAACTAAGCCAATATGGAGAAGGCAAAATATAGTTTGGACCAGAGAGGACATCGGCACGTAGGAAAGGCTGAACAAGGGGACACTCCTGAGATCAAGTGCTGGTTTTGGCTGGGACAGAATTAATAGCCCTTTTCAGCTCTTATTAGCAAGTGCCCCAGGGGCACAGCTCAGGTACCCCCAACCCCAGGATGGCTGCTTGGGCTACACCTGTTTCGTGGGGAGAGCAGGAAAGTACTTGCCAGATTTTGAACGAATGCCACTTGCATTCAATCCAAAGAAAACTCCAGGGCTGAAAAACACCTAACTAACCTAAATGCCTATTGTTAGGCAGTGGACCCTGGATGTGATTTCCTATAGAAAGCTAAAAAAAAACTTTAAAATATACAGCCATTCGCAAGTGTAAACGAAGTCCTCTCTCCTGCCCATTGTTCTCCACAGGAAATGTTCTGCATGGCTCCTCCTCTCCCAGCACTCCAGCAGCTGCCACAGGACTCAAGCACCTGCTAGCCCTGGCTTGCCCCC